CTAAAAATGTTCCAACAAGCGCCATTTTCATACCTTAGTCTTCAAAAAAAAATTTATCAAACTAAATTTTTATTTAAATTTTTCGAGGGGGTTGTGGAGATTTGGAAATATTTCAAGTTGTTATTCATCGAAGACTGACATCAGTTGGAGAAACAAAGGAAACCTGGGAGCACTGGACAGCTGTTTCGTCCTATCATGGGACTCCTCAGCAGTGCGCACCCACCATCCCATACCAGCAGGGACCGAACTCGCGACCTTCAGGTTCCGCGGCCAGCGCGTTACCATTGAGCCACTGGGTCACAATCCAATGCTCCTTATTTCCAACTTCTGTTAGCTCACGATATAGCGCAAACCGCCACCCAATGTCATCGTTGAGTATTTGTCCTCACGGCCATCAGGCTTTGACTCCTCCAACTGATGTCAGTCTTCGATGAATAACAACTTGAAATATTTCCAAATCTCCACAACCCCCTCAAAATTTAATTGAACTGGTGCTCATTGGTGACTAGCTTCGAGAAGTATTCTCGAAGTTCCAATGACAAGTCGTGACCGGTGGAGTCAAAGCCTGATGGCCGTGAGGACAAATACTCAACGATGACATTGGGTGGCGGTTTGCGCTATATCGTGAGCTAACAGAAGTTGGAAATAAGGAGCATTGGATTGTGACCCAGTGGCTCAATGGTAACGCGCTGGCCGCGGAACCTGAGGGTCGCGGGTTCGATCCCTGCTAGTGGGGTCGTGGGTACGCACTGCTGAAGAGTCCCATACTAGGACGAAACAGCTGTCCAGTGCTCCCAGGTTTCCTTTGTTCCTCCAACTGATGTCAGTCTTCGATGAATAACAACTTTAAATTTTTATTTTCCTACATTAATATAGTCCAGAATAATGCAGATTAAGTAACTGATTCCCTCATCAGTGCTGCAATAATAAGTGCACACTAGTATTTCAAGATAACGTCAACTAACTTTCAAAAAATCCGCAGTCATTACGTTATGTTGTGCGAGTTATAGCGTAACTACTATCCAATATCTTCAACATCAAGAAATGGACTATATTGTCACCCTATGACAGGTTCTAGAACACAGGCATACCTACCGACGACCGAAACTTGCCATATTCCTTGACATGAAGGCAACATTTAACTCTGTCGACCATGTGTAGTGGCAATATCTAACCGTAAAGGGAGTAACCAGAAAGCATATAACGTTAATCAAAGCGCTGTACTCGAACGCTGTCTTCAGAAGTGACGACAATTAGTAGTGTCCACTGGGGATGCTCACCGTTACTATTTGACTTCGTCATAGACGAACAGATGGAGATAATATAGGCACTTCTGACTTCACAAGAATTCAACTACCCCCAGAAGGCTATCTGGTTGATTTGGAGTACGCATACGATATTATCCTGCTGGGTGAAGATGCTGACAAAATGCAGGGTCTTCTAGACACACTGAGTAGAAATCTGTGTATGTTTGACATACATTTCGCTCCTGTCAAATGTAAGATGATGATGCAGGACTAGTGTGCTGCCACCACTCCCAGTTTACTGGATAGCGAGTCAAGTGGAGGAATGTCCCAACCACTTCGCTTACTTGGGAAATTGCATCAGCCTAAACGGACTGGTTGCTGACGAAATCTCAGCTAGGACACAGAAGACCCGTTAAGCATTTCCTAGCCTGCGTCATCTGTGGTGCGGGCAAAACGTCCGACCACCTATAAAAGGAGGAGTATATTGCGCTGCATTCCGTTCTCCCTAAGTAATAATAACGATAATAATGCTTACTTTATTCTAAATAATATGTTCTATACAGTATGGAGTTCTTAGCGTGTTATCTTTCGACAACCACACTCTCAAAACAATATTTTCCAACGAAGGGATTATTGTACCTGGATGATGTTTATGGCAACACCACTAAAGAAAATTATTTGAAGCAGCCAGTTAGTGTTGTAACAGCTTGCAGTATTCAATGTTGGTGGTTCATTCAGCTAGTTGAAGAATGTGCTATTCGAGAAAGGTAACCAAGGGATGGAAATATGATACACTTTTGTGCATTCAAAAGTCAATTTTCGTCTCACACGACATTTTACCTTCGTTTTGCTAATGATTCGAAAAGCTGCTAGTTCAAGACATTTTAACAATCCGCAAGAGTATTTTAGACGTTTGGAAGACACATATTTGAAAGATTAAAACATTGAGGGCGAAGAATCTGATAGAATATGTTCAATGGAAAATTTTATTGTTAGCCCAAAAGTCCAAGCAGGCCCCCAGATATGTTGTATACGGTTGAGACATGGCCGCTGAAATTAGAAGACACGAAGCGACTACAGGGCTTTTATTGTAGATATCTTCGCAGCATTTCTCGCGTTTGGTGGAATCACCATGTGAGCAACATTGAGGTCAGGCGAAAGATACTAGGCAAGACAGGCAAGCCGATTGACGGGGTTGTGCACCTTAGTCCAGTGAGATGGCTTAGACGTATACTGCGCATGCCGAGTCATTGCCCACCTTGACGTGGAATGCTAGAAGTTGAATAACGTTGGAAGAGGGTTCAAGGTGGTCACAATGGCGCAAATGTATTCACTCCTAAGCATCTAAAGTTTGAATACTCGCATTTACCGTTGTCTTGAAAGTATTTATTGTCACATAACTGTTCCAAATTTGATATCAATCTTTTTCTACCCACCTGTTCTTTGTGTACCATAACGAAGTGTGGCGAATTGGATCGATCCACTTCAAAGGGTGGTTCTACGTTGATTTTGTCTTGTTAATATCCTCAATGTCTACATCACTGGCATCATAAACCTAAGCTTCTCGACAAAACTTTGAAACATCCATTTTTAAAGTAAGTCAGTAGTTAACAGAAAATTGAGTTTTTTCAACAGTTTCTCAGAAGCTTAAACTTGAGGGGTAGGAAACAGTCGCTTAATACTCACTAATTTCCGGTTTTTTCAAACGATGTTTAGTTGTGATAGAATTGTTTAGTTTTCAGTTATAAAGTGAGTTACTTATATTTCTGAAATAAGTACAAAATACACGCCGCATAATTTAGCAGTCGACTCAGTGCACACAGAGCATGTCTCTCAAAGACCTCCCCTTCTGCAACAGAATACCTACCAAATTCTTTCTTACACTACTATCTATCTTGTACATGCATTAGTCGTAAAAAACGACTACCTACTGATAGATTGTTCCTCACATATAACAAATAAACTTGAGTAAAGCAAGATTCATTAGTAACCAAGTGGCTGACTAACACTACACGCTACATAATCCTATATAAATTATGTGGTGCTTCTATTACCACTCAAAACAGTTAGTGCATATAGCCAAATCCTATAGAGGGTCATTCTTGGTCTGAATAGCTTACGAGTCAAGTACTTACCGCCAGCGATGAGTGATGCAAGTCAGCATCTTCACGAGAGCATGAAATTCTTACAGGTTCTAAAGACACCTTGCCAATGACTGTGCCCAGGTTAAAGGCTTATAAAAACTGAAGAACCGTTAACAATCTAAGCAGAAATGGAGGAAAAGATTTGGTGGAGTAAAGCAGTTTGATCTGAATTCTCTCCCTGGATCTAACTATTACTGACAATTTTAAATAAATTATATGAAGAAAGCTGTCATTAGGCACGTTCCATTTATGTATCACAGAACTAAAGCAACCATCTGGCAACAAAAAGTGTAGATGCAAACGAAGGCACCATCCTGTAAAATCCTATACAAAACAGGAGTTCTAAGTGATTGATGTAGACACTCTACTTCCAACCAGTGAGTCACGACAAGTTTGAAGCTTGCTCCGCCTCTAGAGGTTTGAACAGCCGCCAGATAGTATCATTTATCTTGACACAACAAGGTATGGCTCACTGCTTAGCACAGGAACGTGTGGAGTACATTCCAATTTTCTCACAAAATATTATGGATGCCTCTCAAGTGCGGATATATCAATGCCTGTGTTTGTTTCCTTGTGTTCATTATTCATTTATCAGTCTGACTATCTGAGATATTCGTGGTTCAGCAAACTTTCATTACTGATACTAGATGATGATCAAAAGTGAAATGAAGACTTAGACCACGGCAAGATTCGAACTAGCGACTACCAGATTTCCAGCCCGGTGCTTTACCAACTGAACTACAAGCACCAAGTGCTGACCAGATTCTCATTTCACTTCAATCATCGACGGGTTTTGCCCGATTACCATGTGAATTCATGGTGCATTACTATTGCTTGATCGTACAAACACCGGCTCCCCAGTCAAACAGAACTTCTCATCTCAATTCAAATCTACTTGAATAAGAGAGCAGGAGCATTATGTTGATTAATTTGACTATCAGAGACAGTTGTATTACTGATACTAGGTGGTGATTGAAGGTAAAATGAAAACTTATCTAATGGGATTTGTCGACTTGTATTTTCCTGTCCAACCAGCTTTTAGTGGGTTACACACAAACACACACACACACAATATTTTGCAATCACTGAAAGTGACAGCCAACAACAAAGTGGAATCACATCTAGAGTCGTTGGGATTAGTAGATACCAATTACCAGGCGTTTTAAGAAACAAAACTACTAGTTACAAGTGAAAAGGGAAAAGTCAAAGTTCAACTTCGATTCATTTATTCATGTTTCAACGTTATTTCCATGTTTGTTTTAATCCAAACACACACATACATACATACACTGACAGACATACACAAAGAAAGGAGTAAAATAAATCTAACAGATGAACTGAAACAACTTTATTATCATTTTGAATCCTTTTTAGCATGAAATCTAATCTTTATATAAAAGCCATCAACCATGTAACAACAACATGACATAGAATACCATATAACATTCTGAACAAACAGTTACCAGTTATTAGCAGGCACATTAACAATTTCATGTCAGCATTATCATCAACAACAAACAAAAAAAACTATTCACCTATGATGATAATGTAGGGGTATTGGTTGCATCATCATCCATCATACGACATACACACACAGATTCTTCATTCTTCATGTGAGTCGAACCAAAAGTGTTGAATTGAGAAGACTACCATCCTCTAGTGTTTGTGTATCGTCAGTTAACTCACGACTTGGATAAGATGTCACTATGGAGAATGAGCTGGATGCTAAATCTGGTCTTTCACTGCAGAAAAACATATGAGAAAGAAAAGTGAAGAAAAGCAAAATGAATAACAGTGCAGGGAAGATCTAAAACCAAGAAGAAAAAAATTCTCAACTACTCTCAAAGAAATAAGCACTAAAATATGTGTAGAATGAATAGTCATTACAGATTATCCATAATGAAAAAAAAATGGAGTTTAATTGTCAATTTTCGATTTATACAGTACAGTACAGTCCATATCATGAGATGTAGCACTAACGCAGAACTCTTCAAGTTGTTACTTTTTACATCCCATATCAAGGTTGATGACATCAAAATTAGTAAAAAGATACAAGAATAGAGGATAAAAGGCTAAGACTGAACTTGATGATTAAGATGAAGAAAATATGTCAGTGTATCCTATACCGCTGACATTGTTTTTACGCCATATCACTTACAGTTATCAACCAACGATTACAGTTAGAATGCAAAGGTGCAACCAAATAACCTGAGCAACTAAGATTAATAGTCCTTGTTTTATTCTGATCGCCTTAAGCCGTTTTCTCGTTTAAATCAACTCTAATAAACATTGTATGATAACAGGTTAGACGGTAAACAAACTCAGATTCAGAGTGAAGAAATGTACAAACTATCCCATATAATCAATTTAATTGGTTTACTTTCCACTAATAGATTGGTCAAATTATCCACCTGTGATACATCTATCCTTGATATTCAGGTTAAATGACTGTAAAACACCACTATAGCAACTGTTGAATGCTAAAACTTGAACTTCATCAGTACTATTTTCTTCTTTGAATGTATTGTATACGTTTATAAACTCATAAAAAGGTTGATTACACAATTTGACTACCCAAAGAGCATTAGGTGGAATGAACACATGAAAAAACAGTAAAACCATATCCACCGAAAAAAGTTTGATATAGATAAAAAGAATAATCACTTGATGTATTTTATGTTGAGAATAAATGAGTGAAAACCCTAGATGAAACGACTCAAAATCTGTTACAATGGTGGAAATGATATTTACACAAATTATCATTAACAGAAATTTGAGCATTTTCAATAACCTTCACACATCCATATCCTAAAACTACTCCATTTTGACGTGGAACTTTGAAAAAGAAGATAGACAGAAAGATAAAATCAACATCGTAGAACCTAGCACACAAGTGCACCCCTTCAAGTTGTTACACATCACAGCAACAAACAAAGAATAAGTCGACAGAAAACAACTGACATCAAAGCAGACAAAGTTGTGTGAGAGAATAGACAATTTGAAGATAAATGTTAGTACAAATATTCAAGCTTTAGAAGATGTCCAGGAGTGATAACATCTACATCACTATGGTCGATGTTTAGCCACGTCACCAACAGTCCTCGACCACTGATTCCTATCGTCTCGGGGACTCTAGTCAGGTAGCCTACATCTCTCCACAAGACTCAGATCAAGAGTCAGCCTAATTCAACTTTCCCCAGCATTCTACGTTGACAAAGAAGAGAAGAGCTGAATTTTACTTAAGGACCAGCTAAAACTTTGTTCATCAGATAAACTAAATGAAGGAGTTCTGTTCATTGAAAGATATCTGAAAAAATCAGTTAACCTCAGAGAGATTTAAAGAAAGTCAAAATGCAAACGATAATCCCAAGAAAAAGTCTGTGTTTCTTCGTCTGACTTTCAAGGCAGATGAACTCATGAAAAAAAGTTAGTTTAAAAATAAGAACCTCACTATAAAGATCCATTTCCCAGCAGATAAATTCGTCTCTATATACGAAACAAAATGTTAACTATAACAATCGAAAACCAACAAGTTTTCGACTCATATCACATAGTATTATACTAACCAATTCAAGCGTATTTTCGAGAGTACATACATCAGAAGGACAGACGGAGGTGAATGAGGGTTAAGAACCGATTTCGTGAACACAAGAGGTCAAATAGTCCCATTGCTAAACATCTGATGGATACAAGATACGACATCCAGATCCCAAGTTTATTTAAAATAATCAACAAACAAAAAGTGATAATATTCCACTTCCATTTACTTTCTTTCGCTGTGTTATTGTTAAATGTAACAAATTGAATTCATGTAAGAGTGAATGGAACCTCGCTTGGTTAACTAGTTTACTAGTTACTAGCCGGTCCTAAGCCCGGGTAAAGAGGGAAGGTTGGGCATAGGGCTAGCAACCCTACCCCGTAAAACAAATCTAACCGCTAAACAAACTTCAAAGCACAAACAAAATATAAAAAACAAAAACAAACTTATTCCCCGCTGGAATCGGAGAGGCGAAATGACGCCAGTTGCTGAAAGCCTGCCTTCGGAAAGCCAATTGGCCGATGTGTCTTCTCTCGATGAAAGCGAAAGTAAACGTGAGGACATGGAATGTCCACACCATGTTTGAACCCAGTAAGGCAGCCCAGATTGCAAAGGAGATGAGAAGGTATAACATCGAAGTGCTTGGGATTTGCGAAAGCAGATGGAATGGGAGTGGACTCTCCAAACTGTCAACTGGAGAATCAATGATCTACTCAGATATTGTCACCCAGACGACAACCACGAGCACACTGAGTTATGGAGTGGCTATCATGATGTCCTCAAGAGCATCGAAGGCTATCATGCAGTGGGAACCAATCTCCTCCAGGATCATGACAGCAAGATTCAACTCAAAAGGAAGGAAGAAAGGTCACAATCATACAATGTTATGCACCTACAAATAATGCAGAGGAAGAGAAAAAGGAGGATTTCTACAGACAACTTCAGTCAACACTGGACAAGACGTCAGTTGGCGATATCAAAATTCTGATGGGCGACATGAATGCCAAACTGGGAGGGGACAACACGGGAAGAAAACTAACCATGGGTCGAGAGGCGCTAGGTGAGGTGATGAACGAGAATGGAGAATTGTTTGCAGAATTCTGCGCATTCAACGATTTGGTGATTCGAGGCAGTGTGTTCAGGCACAAAGATATCCACAAAGCGACATGGATTTCACCAGATGGACACACTAAAAATCAAATCGACTTTATCTCAATCTCAAGAAAATGGAGACGCAGTCTACTTAACACAAGGTCAAGAAGAGGAGCACGTGTAGGTTCACACCACTCACTGTCTAGTGTAAGGAACCTTCCAAATCAAGTTAAAAGCCTTCAAGGAAGCTGGTGATAGACCTCAATTCAAGTACAACACTCGGAAACTGAAGCATGAAACTACAAAGGAGATCTTCAAGGCAGTCATCAAGACAAAATGGGAGACATCGAGCAACATCCCTGAAGAAACCTGTGTGGAAGAACACTGGAAGTCTTTGAAAGAGATATGGAAAGAAACCTGCACAGCCGTATTAGGAAGAAAGAAGACAAGGAATGGATCTCGACGGATACCTGGAAGCTGATAGAGAAGAGGAGGATGGTGAAGCAGAAGATAAACCAGTGCAAGGATGCTCAACGACAAGAGGAACTGAGCACAATGTATAAAACACTGGATAAAAAAGTGAAGAAGAGTGCACGCAAAGACAAAAGACACTTCTACGAAACACTGGCAAGTGAAGCAGAACAGGCTGCCGGTGGTAGGGGAGACCTGACAAGATTGTATCAAATAACCAGGTTACTATCAGGGAAGAGACCAACACAGATGAAACCAATAAAAGATGAAGAAGGAAATTTAATTACAAAAGAAGAGAAACAGAGGAAACGATGGGCCGACCACTTCAAGAAGCTCTTGAATCGACCACCAACTGCAACTCGTCCAGAAATACCACCTGCAGCCGCTGAATTACAAGTGAACATAAATCCCCCAACGAAAATGGAAGTCCTCAGCGCCATAAAGCTACTGAAATGCGGGAAAGCAGCAGGACCAGATGGAATACCGCCAGAAGCACTGAGAACAGATGCAGAGACAACAGCGGACATGCTCACACCACTATTGCAGAAGGTGTGGAAGGAAGTGAAGGTACCTGCCTGTCGATTGGAAGAAGGGTTACCTTGTCAAACTGCCGAAGAAGGGAGACCTCAGTGCTTGCAAGAACTGGCGCGGAATCACTCTCCTGTCCATCCAGAGCAAGCAAAATATTAAGCCGCATCATCCTAGAGATATTCAAAGGTTCACTGGATTCAAAACTGCGACCGGAACAGGCAGGCTTCAGGAAGTACAAATCATGTGCAGACCAAATTGCAACGCTTCGCATCATCATAGAACAGAGTATAGAATGGCAATCAGCTCTCTACCTCAACTTCATCCACTTTGAGAAGGCCTTTGACAGCGTCGACCGAGAAGTAATTTGGAAACTGCTTCAATACTACGGAGTACCGCAAACCTTTATCCGCCTCATTCAACAACTATATGAAGATGCCACATGCCAAGTAATCCACAATGGGAAGCTCAGTGATGATTTTGAAGTGAAGACAGGAGTGAAACAAGGTTGCCTACTATCCCCCATGATATTCCTTATTGTGGTGGACTGGATCATGCAGCAAACAGTAGGCAGCGAGAAGAGGGGGATACGCTGGACGGCGGAAAAGAACCTAGAAGACTTGGATTTCGCCGATGACTTGTGCCTAATGTCACATAAACTTGAAGACCTGCAGGCAAAAACTAACAAGTTGATAGAAGAGGCAGCGAAGACGGGACTTCAGGTGAATATAGAGAAGACAGAGGTGATGAAGATACCGCACCACCACCATCAACAAAAACAACAAACTCCAATCACCGTCAACGGGAGAAACTTAAAGGAAGTAACCTCCTTCACCTATCTAGGAAGCACTGTTTCAACTACAGGCGGGACGGACGAGGACGTCAAAGTCAGAATCGGAAAAGCAAGATAGGCGTTCATTAGCCTGAAACCAGTGTGGAGATCTTCTGCACTCAGCATGTGGAACAAGATACGGATTTTCAACACCAACGTCAAGTCAGTGCTTCCACGTGATGGTTCGGAGACTTGGCGCGTCACGAAAGGGATTTCCAATAAACTACAGACATTCATCAACAACTGCTTACGCTGGCTCGCTACTGAAGATCAGATGGATT